CGCATAATATGTAACTGCAATATGCGACGCATTATATTTTATGGACATTGTGTTATACGGGCGGTAGTACTCTTGATGTTCGTAGAACACTTTAAGGACTTAGTCCTTAAAGTTGTAAGTTACCACGTGATCCACGTGCTTCTCATATAACTCAATCTCATTTTTTTTTCTCGTGGGAAAATAATCGAATTTTTTGAATAGTAGTGTTGTTATGTCGATAATTTTCTCTCTCATTCTCTCTCTCTCTCTCTCTCTCTCTCTCTCTCTCTCTCTCTCTCTCTCTGCAGTCTCCTGAGGAAAGAAGGTATGATAAAAAGAAAAAATATATGTATGTATATATGTATTATATAGGTATACCTAATGCTGGAGCCGTGTCGTGAAATACTCACGACGATATCGACGATTTCATCTCGTGTTCAGAAGAACCTTCTTTTCTTAATTTATCATTTCGCTGTCATGAAATATTATCGCAGAGTGAGATTAAGAAACAAGACAAAAAAAACAGACAAGAAAAAGCGAGCGCTCTGTTATGTCCAAGGCTATATTTAATTCCAAAATTACGCAATGATCCGGTTTATGATTTAAATTAATCTTTACACGTTATCGACATCGCGGTAATGTTAATCACTTTCAATGAGCCAGCTTTTAAAGGAAGAAAGCTCGTTTGTAGCCGCTATTGTATTTTTTCCCGTAGCCGTTATTTTTAACGTGTTTCACAAATAGCACAATTTGTACGAAAATTAAGCTATCATTAACTTTGAGACTTAAATCACGCCCGTCGTCACTATCGTTTTTCAGACGTTACACAATATTCATTCTTTAAAATATATACATATATATTATGTACGGTAATCATATAATGCCCACTGCACAAGCAGAAGCAATAACATAACCTCGTTTTGCGTCAATATCCATAGAAATTAATTAAATGAATCTCTCCAACGTGATACGTTATCGTAATTAATGTATGACTGCACGTCTCTGTATTAACTGTTTCAACTTTTAACTGTATATCAACTGTTTCGTTTATATTAAGTAATATATGATATATATTAATTTCGACTGAATCAGTGCGTTCTGAAGAGAAAGGAAAAAGAGAAATACGCGTATCGCTCCGAATCGAGTCGAGAAAAGAAAGATAAAACCGACTACTACGGAATACAATGCATACAGAACGCGTGAGAGAAATAAAAAGAGAGAAAGAGAGAAGGTTTACAAATAAAAAAAGAGAATTGCAAAGTAAAACTCTGAAAATAAAGGCAACAGGTTGCTTTTTTATCAATTTATCGCGAAGAGCAGCGTGTAGGCAATACTCCCTTCATGAAACTATGAACGTAATTATTCATAAATCATAATAATATCATGTCGCAAGTTTCCATAACATCGAAGTTGCTATGTAGCTTTACAATCCGCTCACGTTCATTTCACAAGCGGTTGATTTTCATCGTTCGCGAACAACGCAAATCGCATGGTTACGGAGGTATCGTGGCGAATTTAACCGTAAACGGGTTATAGTGTATCATAAAGATTCTAGTTGCTTTGCGACGGTGGTGATGCGATCGCGACAGGATCTTCATGAAACATTCGATCGATGATTAGGATTACCACGAAATCTAACGTTTCGTGTTAAACTCACGATAGTATGACTATAAGAGTCGAACAGGAGTTTTAGCAAACCATTAACCCCTTGAGCGACATTGACGCCATATGGCGTCAAATGTATTTTCTTGCAGATCGTTGTTGTAATTGTTTTAAAACTGTATATACAGGGTTTTTTGAGTCGTAGAATACGTATTTTTGGTTAAAATTGACAAATTCAAAATGGTGAATCCAATATGGCATACAAAATGTCACATAATTCGAAAATTGATTTATTTCATTAAAACTTATTGTCTAAGGATTTTTTGGGTCGCAAAATACGAATTTGTGATTCTCGGGTCGTAAATAAAAATTTACCAGCTAATGCAGAGGATCTTGAAAAATATATTTTTAAATTTTTCTTCCCATTTTTTAAACGTCAATGATCGATAATTTTTAATTTGAAAATTTTATTTTCGCACTGATAAATTATACACAAAACAAAAAACACGAAATTTTTATAAAATACGTCAATTTTTGGCTTATGTAACATTTTATTCGCCATATTGGATCCACTATTTAGAATTTCACAATTTTGTGACTACGTAATCGTATTCTGCGATCAAAAGACCCCTGGATACAGAAAATCAAAGAATCTTTTTTCCTGCCCCCTAGAGCACATTCAGACGAAACCAACTTGCCGCTTAAGGGGTTAATAACATTAAATGGAATAACTGGGGTGTATTATTATTAATAATAATGTGTATTGTTTTGTCGTATTTCTTTGTTATTCAAATTTCCATATTTTATATTGTATTATACATTAGAGGGAAATTCGCGGGAGAGCTATCGTGCATGTATTCGTGATTGTGCAATTTTCGACAGATTAATTTTATTACGTCGTAACAGATAAGATGTCGCGCGATGAACGGCGACTCGAGTGATAAATACGCGAAATACAGACGCGAAGGCTAGTCAGCGTATAAAAATGTCTGTCAGTCGATACATGCTCGCTATTCCCATTGGAAATAGAAAAACATAGCGCACGTCACGCTCACATGGGACAAGGACAAATTGTATATTTTGAAAGCATAATTTTTAGATGCGGCTAAGATATTTTCTGTCATACCAGATGTTATGCTTCATTACTTGTTCGCAGCAGGAGATTTATCTGATGAATTCGCTAACTAGAAAATATTGTTTCATCGAAAGTAACTAACACGAGATACCTGTGCGTGGGAAAGAAAAATTACCGTTAAAAAAAAGTAATTACCGGGAAAAAAACATGACGCAATTTAATCATATCGTTCTCATTCAGGATTTCCGTGTTATCTTTAATCTCATATTCCAAGACTTGTTATCTTAATGAGAACAATCCTTAGGGGAACAAAACGCGCGTTGCGGGAATTCACGCTGATTTTTATTCCAAATAAAAAGACATACACATTCTCCCCATAATAACAAGCAGTTATACTTTACTTTTATGTAATTTCTCAAAAAACGCATTTTTACAAAAAAAATGTTTGAAAAAAGAAAATCTAATTTTGTCTAATTTTGCGAACACAATAAATAAATGCAATATGTGAATTTGTGTTTATCCGATTTGTTGCGTGGGACGAGAGAATGTGATTAAATTAGAATCGTAAACCTTTCTTGTTTACCATATCATAAATTGAGATTGAAGCAACTTTATCCATGCATTTACTGTCAAAAACCATGCACAAAAATATAATTGTGACTTGATCGAAAGGTTGCATCTTTAACTAAGAATCTTCAAAAATTAAAAAAATACTTATGTATATACATATATTTTTTTATATATTTTATATTTAGGATTTAAAAACGTAAAGCGGAATATACTCATGCTCGTTAACTCTTTTACGGCATATATCTATTTAACCTCTGAGTTTAATAAATTGCCGTTCTTTTTAATTTTCCTCAAAACCTAAACGTAAAGAGCCGCTCGCACCTCTCATTACTACGAAACTTTTTAATCTTGCGAATATTATATTCTATCGCTGCATATCATCAAGGTGTTTCGCAAATGCTATTCCTTTGGACAGAGATTTTTCTTAACTTTTCAAACTTGCAACTTAAACCTTTAGCGCATCACGGCCTCAGCAAGTCCTCGCTAAGAGCACTGCGCATTATTACTCGTAATTTCGCCGTACAACGGCGAAAAAAATAACGCAAACTGACACATTTACTTCTTAATGGGTGGACACGACCCACGTGCGTATTTCATGCTTGCATATTTCACTCGTGCAGCAATATTTGCACGACGAGCTATTGTTAGTTACGGTAAGACGTAATAACAGTTTTCCGGCAGCAGCAAAGGACTATTTACATTCTAAGCAAGCGATGCAACATGATATTAGAACTTGTCGTTCCGCACGTAATACACGAGCACATACATATGTGTCGCCACCGCGTGTAGTAAAAGTATAATCGCACATTGCGGTCGTTCCTGAAATATAGGGAGAGGACGTGAAAGGCGATGCTGCATGCCACGGATTTTAATTTGAGAATATTCACGTTACTCATTTCGTTATAAAATCGGAACAACGAGCGGGGCTCGTAAATACGGAATAATTCTCGCCCCGATAAATATATTCTTACAAAAACAGATCCATTCGCGAACTGGACGACCGAGGATCGACTATTCGATTCCGACGGCAGCGAGAGAACGAGGTGTAGAATAATAACGATTCGATCGCGAACGATCTGGTCGAACAAACAGCACTCGCCTTCACGTACCTCGCCGACTGTTTTGTCAACGAAAGAAGATTCAGTTCGCCTCCTCAAGAAGGCGCGAGCTAATTGATGAATGCTCCGCGAACATTCTCTACTCTCCTCCTCCAGTACGATACGGATCTTGAATCGCGTTAAGTTACGCGACGGATAACGACAGCAAATACTTTCAAGCGCAGGCGTATTATTTTTAAGGATCTCCATTTGAGAATCATTCATGATACGCCATAGACGCTATATCTTCTGCGGAATTTTAATATCGGCGGCAGTCGTGCGGCGCGAAACGTGCGCGGAAATTAGTAACGACCGTTGAAACGGCGTTGGAGCCATGACAACGATATTGCAGAAAGTCTATTATTTATCACGGCCAAATAGAAATGGAAAAGTTGGCAACAAAAGAACGTTGAAGCGTCTTTATATATTCAGGAAAATTTATTTCGAATGTGTTGGTGTAATTTCTTCTCTTCCGGCCCACTTCCCACTTTTCTCTCTCTCTCTCTCTCTCTCTCTCTCTCTCTCTCTCTTCTCTTCTTCTTTATTTATTTTGATAACTTCATTATTTATTTCTGTTATCCTTTTTTCCTTTTTTCATCTCACTTGGTACTTCGGTAAGTTCATTATTCGTTCCTATTATCCTTTTTTCCTTTTTTTACCTCTATTTCTCGTTACAGCTCACCGGCGAATGCGCACCATCACTAATTATTTCTTGGTGAATCTCTCCGTGGCGGACCTTATGATGTCATCGCTCAACTGCGGCTTCAACTTTATCTTTCTCGTCAACTCTGATTGGCCCTTTGGAGCGGTATATTGCACTATCAACAACTTCGTGGCACACGTGACCGTCGCCTCCAGCGTTTTTACCCTCGTCGTAATATCGTTCGACAGGTTAGTTTTTTATGAGAAAAAATTTTTTATATACGTGTATACTTATAACGCCCGAGCGCGGAGCCATCAGGGAACTCGACCGATTTGTACATCGCCGTGATTCTTTGAACTTATTTTGTTCATTTACAGCGGCCGCATTCATTTGCAGCGCATTTACATTCGACAACAAATAATATACACGGCCCGAGATTTGCGACTGAGTGTTTTCCCTCGTATTGCGCATTCTTGCAAATACTCCGATTCTCTCACGTTGTACGACAGATACGATCTAATTTATCCCTCCTCTTTCTTTCTTTCCTTCTCTCTCTCTCTCTCTCACGCACGCACACACATACACATACTATCTCTCTTTTTTCTCTCTTTCTCTCTAACTCTCTCCTTCTTTCTACGTCGATTTCTTTGTATGAACTAAGGGACAATCACTTTTCGTAGACGTGGTCGGTTTTACGCTTAATTTTGAAATATTTCGAGAAAATGGAGACAAACGAACATTCGATCCCATAGATCCCATAGATAGTAACGCGCCGTTGGCGAGAGATAGGCGCGCGAGCTGTGGTGTTTAAACCGCAACTCATGTAAGTCAGGAAGGAAAATCTTGCGGCGCGTAGCGTCGCGATTCTCGACTTTTGCGCTATTTGTCCACAATCAATATCGAGCACGACCTCAGGCTGAGATAGTCAAATGTACTATATCGTGCCTCTTGACGCGTTTGTTCAGAAAGCGCGAGTAAAATGTTCCATAAACGCGCGACAATATATACCGAAAATAAATCCGGGTGAAAGCTGTAGCATTTTTAGCTTTCGCATGCACTTCCTGCCATTATCAAGAGGCACGCCGTGCCTATTATACGCGAAACTGCGAGTTGAAACGAGATGAGATATTCATATCTCAGCAATGACTGAACCGATCGACGTTTCTTTAGTCCCAATCGATTCAGCCTTAAAAAATAGAAAGAAAAGTGTCCTAGTGTTTTTTGTGTACGTTGTCTCCAAGCATATATATTTTAAGACAAAGTCCAAATTACGGAAAATTTTGATTCAGTAAGAAAGTAAGAAAGAAACGCTAGACCGCCGAGGAGAGGGGATTTGTGCATCTCGTTTTTCCGACACCAGAGGCGTTACGAGCGCGCTGAAGAAGCAAAGAGCAGCGAGTGCGAGTGAGCAAGCGATAGAGAGTAAGAGAGAGAAGAATATTTTTTGCTAGAATACAGGAGGTGAAAATGTGTGACAGAGAGAAAGAGAGCGAGAGCGAGAGAGAGAGAGAGGGAGAGAGAGAGGGAGGGTGGGAACAGGCGAGAAAGAGAACGAGCGAGAGGGGTCAAAGAGAAAGGCATAAAAAGGTGAAAATGTTGGTATGCGTTGGTATGTTATGACGCATGTCATTTGATTGCCGATCAGCTGATGCTGAGCAGACGATGTGATGAGCTATGCCATCGAAAAATCAATACCGGAGTTTATTGACTCGTCGTCCAGGGTGATCGCCCTTCAATTATAAGGACCGCTTCATACAATTTATAAGTGCAGGTATTACGCGCTTTAGCTGATTAATTAACAAGTAAGTATAAATTAATAACATTTATATATTAATGATGTATGTACGTGACATATATATAAAATACAAGTAAAACTTATATAAAACTTACCTTTTTAAACAAAAAGGTAAAAAAAGGCGCCAAGTACAAGCGCAACACGTATTGTGTTATTTTTAGAAGTATCAAACTCAAATTATTTTTTTTAATGTATATATATGTGTACATAAATTTTTACAAGTAAAACTTATTTTTTGTAAGATATAAATTTACAAGTAAAACTTATATAAAACTTACCTTTTTAAACAAAAAGATAAAAAAAAGCCGCCAAGTACAAGCGCAACACGTATTGTGTTATTTTTAGAAGTATCAAACTCAAATTATTTTTTTTAATGTATATATATATGTGTACATAAATTTTTACAAGTAAAACTTATAACTATAATAAAACTCTGCAACACTATTCTACTGTACAAAAGAAGTGATATATTAGAACAGTAGCGCCAACTGAGAAACCTAACATATATATATATATATATATATACAGGGTGCACGATTTATTTGAAGACATTGAAATATCTCGAGAACTATGCATTAGGTAAAAAAAAGTGGTTAATGAAAGTTGTTAGTCTCGAAGGGGGACATCCAATGATACCAAACTCGACCTCCCACCCCACCCCCCAGGGGGTGGGGTGGGAGGGTCGAGTTTTGGGTATCATTGGGATGTCCCCCTTTGAGACTAACAACTTTCAAATTTTCATTAACCACTTTTTTTTTATCCAATGCATAGTTCTCGAGATATTTCAATGTCTTCAGATAAATTGTGCACCCTGTATATATGATTATTGTATACTTAACTTAATATTTTTAGAAATCTCAAATTCAAATTATTTTCTTTTTTAAGATATATATTATAATATACGTACATAAACTTTTAAAAGTAAAAATTATATCGTGTTATAAAAATTTAACACGTTTGTTAATAGTGTCCAATATTTAAAAAAGAATATCTTTTTAAAGGTTATGTTATTCAAAATATTCAAGAAAACCTAGCTTACAAGTAAAATTTATCATTCTTTATTAGGACACTGAGTTATACTCGTATGGTTATTTTACTTGTTATTGTAACAAATTAATTATTATAACAATGCAATAAAAAATATTTAATACAAAAATTCTTGGCGCGGCTGCACCAAAAACTATATCGAACTAAAACTTGTTTAATACATATATGACAGCATTTTTATTATAATAAAATGTACTTGTAAATTCTCTCTATACATATACGGTGTAATGTTTTATTTAAGTTTATATAGTATTATAATAAATTATAAACCTTCACTATAGAATATACATACCGAATGTGTATATATTCTACATATTTTGATATTTTTTTATTCAAAGATGTTATTCTTATTATAATTGACGAAATGTCAATGATATATAATTTGACTCTAGAAAACTATATCGAACTAAAACTTGATTAATACATACATGACAGCATTTTTATTATAATAAAGTGTTCTTGTAAATTCTCTTTATACATATACGGTATAATGTTTTATTTAAGTTTATATAGTATTATAATAAATAAATTATAAACCTTCATTATAGAATATATTATAATAAAAATGCTATCATATATGTATTAAACAAGTTTTAGTTCGATATAGTTTTTGGTGCAGCTGCGCCAAGATTTTTTGTATTAAATATTTTTTATTGCATTGTTATAATAATTAATTTGTTACAATAACAAGTAAAATAACCATACGAATATAACTCAGTGTCCTAATAAAGAATGATAAATTTTACTTGTAAGCTAGGTTTTCTTGAATATTTTGAATAACATAACCTTTAAAAAGATATTTTTTTTAAATATTGGACAAAATTAAAAATTGGACAAATTAAAAAAAATAATTTGAGTTTGATACTTCTAAAAATAACACAATACGTGTTGCGCTTGTACTTGGCGCCTTTTTTTACCTTTTTGTTTAAAAAGGTAAGTTTTATATAAGTTTTACTTGTATTTTATATATACGTCACGTACATACATCATTAATATATAAATGTTATTTTACATTCACTGCATAACCTTTCACTCTTCAAAGAGAGCGTAAAGCACGCTTTATCTTATCGATACATGCCAAATATGTCGTTGCATATATGCATGCGCTCGCTGCATCGACTTTATTCTCATGCAACTTCCCCAGTAAAGAATCGATATACACGATAAAAACGTTTACTTCGAAATTTCATCGACATTTTGATGCTTTAATTGTGACGCGACTTGCTTGCGTGACTGCTGCTGGCTTGCGGTGTAACAAAATAAAACAAGAAAAATAAAATAAAATAAAACGAAACAAAATAATATTTCAATCGCGCCAAGGATCTTGCGCGATTGGGTACGTGGGCGAGTAAAAACATGGAAAGCCACTATTTGTCGAACGTGAGAAATTCGATTACGCAGGAAATCTGGCGTAGCGCGTATGCATACGAGAATATTGAATCAAGCATGCTGCATCTAAATCCGATATCTAATCATTTTTCGCTGCCGATTTCACGTCGCATCTGCATCCTGCCTCTATCTTTTGTCGCCTAACAGCCTTATCGTGTCAATTTGCCGTGTATATTGCTTTCTCCGTATCTTACTTATTACGTCATTGCCCTCGAGGATTATCGCAAGGATTAAATTCTAAGGGTCGTCAGGAGCGTGTTTGTGCATGACCATTAGTTCCCTTAAGTTTCAAGGTCGCCGAATCAATTTATCGACCTGTTAACAAGAATATCACCCCTGATCGGGGTTAAACAGTTGTTTTCTGCTATGCTAATAAGTATTTTTCGCATCATGTTGTTAATTTACAGTTTTAACACCGTCCGGGAACCGACTCGTTTACATCACACAGACGATTAATGTAAAATGATTAAGAAAAAACCGGAGGAGTATATTCTTAAAATCGCACGAGATCGAAATTGTCAACACAGCGCGATACAATCGGCATTTCGCGATGTATATTTCGAATTATCTTCCAAGTCGTATTAGTTTGATGGAAACGTCGGCAACAATAACGTTTAACGACGAAGCTCGAATTTCTACTGAGCATTGTGTATCCCATGTTACCCCATCTCGTTCATTGTGCCGCGTGTTGATAAATTATATCTGGAGAGACAGTTGGAGGTTCAATTGTCGAAAACCGATATCAAATTAACGGTGTAACTCCTGAATCGCTTTTTCGCTTAGTCGTTGTGTCACCTGACTTAATTCGCTGCAACATAAAACGGCTTAACGAGGGATTAACACGTGGAGCAACTGTAAAGGAATGAACGATTTTAGAAGCGTTTAATGCTCGATTTAGCTTCCGCATGTAACACCAGAGCTCCATCGACTCTCGCTCTCGCCTATCGAGCGAGCTTAATGTATTACCCCGAACAAAAGCGGCATTTCGTTATTCCCGTTGAGGTTGGAATTTGTTAC